GGGGGGGGGGGGGGGGGGGGGGGGGGAGGGGAATGTAGATGAAGGTATGAAATCTCACGAAGGAGCAGGTGTCGAAAAGATTAAACAGGGTTTCGACACCCCGGAACTAGAGTGAAAACGCATCGACGTCACTTAAAGGCAAGATTCCCCGTCGAGTGCCAACATCTTTCACGCAGATATCTCCTATACAGTCTCTCATTCACGACTCCAATTTCTTCTTCCAACTATAAATAGCATTTCGACACGAGCGGGAAAGACCCGATCGACCCCGAGACGCGACCGAAAAGAGCCGGCAGACAGACTCCGCTTCCGTCTCCTTTCACGCCGGGAAGGATCCTCGAAAGATCCTCGAAACATCCTCGAAAGATCCTCGAAAGATCCTCTTTTCTCCCCTCGCCTTCACCTCCTTCCATCCTTCTCATTCATCGCGGAATCGCGGGGGGAAAACCCAGGGTCGCCCTCACTTTCACCCGGAGTTCCCCGACCCGACGACGACGACCGCGCTCTCGCCGTCCGGGTCGCGATCCGTCCTTCGGGGTTAGACCGGTAGATGGCAGGTGAGTCGGAGCCTTCTTTTTGTCTCGGTTGTGACGCGTTCCCCCCGCTTCTCCCCTCGACCTCGAAGTCCCCCGTCATTAAATCGCAAACAGGATCCACTTTCTCCGTTTCTCACCTTTGTGTCCGACCTCGGCGGGCGATCGAGTCGCGGCGGAGAGGAAATGCTTCGAGGTGGAGGGGAAATGCTTCGAGGTGGAGGGGAAATGCTTCGAGGTGGACCTGGCAGGCTTTAATTTGGCGCCGTAGCGTTCGAATCAAGTCTTCCACGTTATCGTTCCTCTTTTGGTCGGAAGAAAATCTCCAGTGGCAGAGACCTGCATCTCATATGTCCGTATTTCAGGAGATTTGACCCGATAAATCATGTCCTTATTTAATTTCAATTTTAAAAGTTTTATTTTTTTTTCCATTTCGAAGGAATCGTACGACACGATGAGAAAATCAATTTAAAAAAAAAAAAGATTTTTTCACATTTTACTTTTACTGGCATGCATTTAGTACGGGAAGCGAAAGAAGCGTCACCGTTTCTTCGGGATGCAACGTTTTTCCTGTTGCGTCGACGAAAGCCGACCCCAAAAGAAGCCGCTTAATTTGACTTAATTCGCACGGAAGCAGCCGCTTCCCGAAAGGAGGAGTTTCGCGGCGAGGGAAAGTGGAATATCCTCGAGAATTCGGTGGTGAAAAGCCGGAAGAGAGCCCCGAAATCCATTCGAGTTTCCGCGCGGATCCAGAATTCGCCTTTTCGGTTCATCTTTCAAATTTTCCGTAAAATATTTTGAAAGGAATTCCAGCGAAGGTTTTAGCTCGAGATTTTTTTTTCGAGGGAAATCGAGAACTCTCTGCCCGAATCCTTTCGCATCGGCTTTCGTGCTTTTAAAGCGCGATTCGTTTCGAAATCCCTTTCGAATGAATCGCCGGAAGCCGGGTCGTAAAGCGGAAGCATTTCGCGGCCGTCGCGATCCGGCATCCGCGGCATCCGCGACGCAAGAGAGAAAGCGATGCAGACCACACGTTTATTCCTCGAAAGCGACGTAATATTTAAGATCCGTGTTTCGGGACTAGTCACGACGAAAAAAAAAAGGGTGAGCAATCTCATCGCACGCGGGAAGACGACAACAACAACAACAACGACGACGACGAACGTTAGATTCTCGCGTTCGACGGCAGGAATTCATTTTCCCGCCGTCGCGAGGGTGGCGAGGCCGTCGACGGCGACGCAGACGATGGCCTCCAAGGCCTTCAGGATGAGGTTGCTCAACACGTCCTTGAGGTTCCCCAAGACGGAACCCTCCAGGTTGACGTTGAACCAGCTCTGAATGGTCTCGATGATGCTCCCGATGAATCCGCTGAGATGCACGTCCACTCGGATGTTATCCGCTCTCAGGAAACCGTCTGGACCGGGAAATCGGAGGGAAAAAAAAAAATCCGAGGAAACGTTACGATTCGGGCGATTTCGAGACCGGAAATGTGAAAATAGGCCAACGATAGAGGGAAAAAATGCCGAAAAGTGAAATCGTCCGGGAACGCGCACGAACCGACGAGAACGAGAACGCGAAAGCATCAATTATGATAAAGTAATTAAAACGATGAAACCGGGATTCCGATCGCAATTGTCAATCGTCGACCCCGGAAGCGAAGAAAGGGGATGAAGAAACGGGATGAAGAAAGGGGATGAAGAAACGGGATGAAGAAAGGGGATGAAGAAACGGGATGAAGAAAGGGGATGCCATGCGGCACGCCCGCTCACCGAGCATCTGGACGCAGGTGGCCGTGCCGATGAGGCTCCGAGGCGTGGAATCCATCTTGACGGGGAAACCCACGTCCATCTTCACGTTCGCCTTCCCGTCGATGGAAAACCCTCCGAACGGACCCAGTGACACCTGCCGACAGAAAACAAATGCAGGTGAGTTTCTTCCCGAAGGGGGGGGGGGGGGGGGGGGGGGGGGGCC